CGGCTAAAGAGAGGGTGCCATTCTTCTCTTTCTTTTCCGCAGTGTTCTCTGCTAGTTCTTGTAATATACACATCTCTCCTTGGTAAGACCTGCAGGCCATTGTCAAGTATAAGGCTATGATTGATGGGAGCCAGCGAAATGCCCCCACCAAGTCGAACTGCACCCACAGAATATACTAAAACGTTTTCAGCAGTTTTTCAGTGTTCACTTTGATATATTTCGTGAGAGAATGGTCTTTGTAGATGCTACGCCGGAACACGTTCCGCAAACGATTCGAAGAGCTGCTGTGTCGATATGTACAAGATCCAAACGTCGTCCAATTTGGATCGGCTGTAACAGGTCTAGGAACGAATGATTCAGATATAGTAAGGGTTTATCAATGCTTTATCGGGATTTGATATATTTCTTTATTTGTTTACAGGACCTGTGCCTCCTTTTCAAGGACGACACCACTTCACCCATGAACGAATTCGTACGTGATGGAAATACCCTACTATCTTGTCCTCCAGAACATTTTCAAGAGAATCCTATACATCGGGATGAGTTGAACGCTTTATCGCTACGAGGTAAGGGAAAAGGTGTTCGCCTTTGATTAATTCAAATGAACGCCATGAAGTGCTAAATAGTTGCTCTTTGTTATGTGACTCTGAGGAATACATAAGGTATTGCTCACAATCTGCTTCCTTGGCAAGTCCAGACACTCGGCGAAGCCGCCTTAGTGTTGTGGACATATTTCGTTGGGAAATTGGCGAGTCGCGCAAGCAGTACGCTGGGTTAGTCAGCGCACCCATGAAAACCGTCAGATACGTATTGGGAGACTCGGATAATCGTCGATTCTCTCAGCCGATCCACGTCTAACCCTTTTCGCAAATGTGCCGGACACCTCGATATTTGCTAAGACTCCCCTCATTCTCGCTGACGAAACATAACGAGAACATTCCGCGGCCGGCTGCACCAGATTCCCCGGTGCTCAAGATTGCTCAACGCCCTTTTGCAACAGTCATAAATACTGTCCCCTGAGGTGTTTCACTTGTTTTTCGACGCAAATGAACCATTTTTCCTTCACATTTTGGCTACCGTATACGGTTACTATCTCATGTTCTCATGTAAACTCATGTACACTATCGTAACATAACGTTACTATCATGTAAACTGAGTAAACTCTGCCTAGATCAAGTGAAGTCTGTCCCAAAGTGTAGTGCGAGTGAATTCTGTACCTGGTTCACACTCGCTAAAACAGGAAGTGCTAACATTCTGCTTCTTCCCTGTCCTTGGTATTTATTAAAGGTGTACCGCGAGTGACGACTCTCTTGACGGGATTCTTCACATACGTAAGTCTGTAGATTACACTCATATTGTTGTTTCAGAACAAACGGAGGTGCTATTCCGGAGTACTGAAAGAAATGAGAAGAGAGAAAGAGTGGTTTCTTCAAGAGCCTGTATATTGTGTCTGATGCTCGATGTCCAGTAATACGTTTTCGATCCTATGACAGACATGTAAGTTTTCTTTGATTTGTGATTTTCTGTTATTTCGAGCAGTGTTATCAAAGTAGTGGCAGAGGTGGTGTAGTGACGCGGACCGCTTACCGCGCGCGGAGAGGGGATCAAGTCGCAGATCAGCTTCCTTCCCAGGCTTACTAGTTTCAATAAAGGATAAAGTCGGCAAAATGTTACCTGGAACAGTGGTCTTAGCGTACGGGCCTTGAAGGAATCAAAGATATGCTGCACGCTTACCCTCGAGGATCGTGACTCTTCCCATGTGCGGCATGAGCGGGTCCGCAGCTGAGAATATGTGCCACTTCAGTGGTGCGCTGAAATGAGACTGGAGGGTAGTGATAGCTAGGTGCTGCTACGGTCTGCACACGCAGACAAAGCACGCAGACATGCAACGTGTCGTACGATCGGACATACGCCTAACAATGGCCAAACGCGCCACTTGTGCTTCCTCTCACGCTTACTTGTCAGATACCTTTCGCTGCGTAGTTTCGGCAACCTGCCAACATGTTCGCTGCGGGACCTTGGCAACCGCGCAAGCTCCACACTGTGGATAGCGAGTGGATCCAAAAAGGCATCTATAGTCGTTCTCGCCGCAAACGAGAGCGAGAAGGCGTGTCGGGTTGAGCGAGGGGGGGGGGGGGGGTGGGGGGGGGGGCCGGCTTGTTCCGACCCGTTTTCACCAACTGTTGTCGCTTCTGCCCTCAATAAGTCGGTGGGGAGAAAGGCATGACGGCTTTGCTGCGCCATACCAGCCCCTAACATGCCCCAGTGCCTGCAGCAAAGGTAACTGTGGCTATCTCAACCCTACAACTTCATTTCCGCGCACCTTGGAGTGATCCACAGCCATGGGTTTATCAATCTCGCATCTCAAATCCAACTTGCGGGAATCGCTCCTTTTATCTTTGAGAACTGCCTGAAGAAGGAGTGAAACTTCACGCTCACAAGTTATCATTTCCCACTGCCCTCTACCACTGTTGCTTGGGGTTGGAGCGTAGCATTTGCATACATTTATTCCCACTTGCGCTTATGCAAGTTTAAGTGTTTAGTCAGCTTTAATATACAATCTTCTTTAGCTCGTGGAGCTATCAGTGAACAACAAGATCGGATGTCAGAAGTCAGCGTGTATCGGAGCGCTAGTGAAAGCAGATCAATCTGGTCTACTGCGTAAGCTAATCTTGGGATTGCGTCTTTGGGCGGCTTCCAACGGTGTTTTCTCTTCGGAAAAGAAGAGAGTTAGTTGACTGACCTGAATTTTTTTTTCTCGGTTCTAATTCTCATTTCTTATATTGCTTTGCTAAGTTTTTTGATTCCAGACGTGGAATCTCAATTCGTATACACTGAACTTGATGTTCTTCTCATTCCTGCAATCTGAGAAACTGTTACCTGCCTTTGCTCAGTCTGAAAAAGTAAGTGGAATGTTTCAGGTACTTGTTTGTAGGACAGAGCTATTGGGCCGCCCACAATAAACTGCATAGTTGCTCTTCTGCTGGTATACAATGGCAGGGGAAGATGAGCGTGTCTCTTTGAGCGCTAATTTTTGCGAGAATATCTTCAAAGTGACCCTCTATGAGTATTTCCTCTGAGTGTTTTCGATGTCATAGATAGGACCGAATCGCTACCCTGAAGCATCGTTGACTCCCCATCTTTCAGGCTTCTCCGAATGGTACTGTAAACGATTTTACTGTCCCACCGTATAACATAGGTGAAGCTGATATTCGTAAGCTGTTCAAGGTACCGTTTCGAATATTGTAGAAGTTTCCAAAGTACATCCTCTTAGTACAATCTTCAGTAAAGCTTGCATTCTCAGCAGTTCTGTTTAGACAAGCGCGGTGTCGAGGAAATGTTCTCTCAATACGATCTCCTTGTCGTAAAGACAAACCGCGCGATTCCATTTTGTGAATAGTGCCGTTCAGTCACAAGACTGTAGTCCCTAAATGATGCTAATGATAGAGAAATAAAAAGCAAGAAAAAGTCATGGAGCACACCAGCTGAGGACCTGGCAGCCCCTCTGGACGAGTTCTGCTCACCTGCTCGTTTGATGCAGCAAAGTGATATCCTGCCGCCTCTGGCTCACTAACCGTCTCTCCGCGGCATTCAATATTGAACCGTCTAACCGCGAAAAAAAAACGGAAAACGTTGTGTAAAACTGAAATCGTGACAGAAAATAGCCTTTGAGTTTTGGTGGGCGGGACAACTAGAGAGGCGTCAGAACTGCCACTTATGAGGGCCGCAGCGCCTTCGTTACCTGCAATGAAGCCCCGAAAAAGGGACATTCTCAGACATTGTAGACCAGGCTACTTGAGTAAGGAAGGACGCCTACGAATGGTTTGAACGCGGGGACTGTCTTTAATCGACAGCGCCGTCCCCGCTGTACCTATCAACTGAGTAGAACTGGAGGGAGGGGCATAGAGACAGACGACGTCAATAATCAGACAATTTTCTGCCAGGTCGAGTACGATCCCGGTTGAGATCGTATTGACACTCGCCTGATCCTGGGCATACGGTACCCCACGCGGGAGCTGATTTGACCTTCGGATGCTCGTAGGGCATTGCAAACGCCGAGCCGCAGACTGTGAACAATGCCTAAGCTGTCCCATCCATTTGACCACCTCTAGCCATATGTTTGGGAAACAGTATCGAATTCAAACCGCTTGATCACGGTCACCGGGGTTGTTAAGAATGTGGCCGCGGTTTTTTAGTTAATTTTTTCAGTTATCTGGGATTTAAAAAACTGGGAGAAGCCGTGGTCGCTTGCCCCGTACAACTCCTTTATTTGTGTACTTTTAGAAGTTCTTCGTTCTGTGCGTTGAACGGCAACTAGACAAAACCCTCTTCTCATTGCGAAATGGAGGGTTGGTGCCCTTGGATGATTTCAAGGAACAATTGATTTTGAAAACCCCAATCTATTCTTTTTGTGCAGGTGAGTTCTGTTTGCCATTGAACAAAAATGAGAATACTGACGGGATGTTCCTTTGCACACAGGACCCAATCGAGTTGACTGATAACGTAGCAAAGAATGTGACGAGTAAAGCTTTGAAAACAATGAGGCATGCTATGATGCTTTCGTTGGCAGCAATGAAGCAAAATGCGCGACTCGTTTGCTGTTATGTTGGGTGTCTTGAAAAGCAAGTCGACAAGCTCTTCACCTGCGCCAAATATGCCCCCGACAGGTATGTCTCTTCTGAATGAACAGATTGACGAGGATGTCTTTTTCCGCGATGCGAGTAGAGGTCGTAATTAGGCGTGCTGACAATATTGAAATACTCCTATCTCTATCATGAAATTATGGCAAAGGTACTGGGGCCAGAACTTTATAACTACTAAACGGCTACCACTCTGGGCGGGAGTGCCAGCCGCTATGAATCCTCTCGCATCGGTGTCATATTTAGTGACCACCGACTGTGCGCATGGTTGTATCAAGTTCATTCTAAATTCACTATCCACTTCGTATCCAGATAGAAAAACTTATGTTGCCGCTCACTGGCATTCCGGACACGTTTCCACGTCACGCGACGTCGGGCTGTGTCAGACGTGCTGTAACATGCCAAGAAAGGCTGCGTGATGTCACGGCGTGAATTCTCTTTCTATCCAGCGAAACGGGGTATCGGTCTGTGCATTACGCTATATTGCCAGAAAACGATGGATGGAAAGTAAAATAAAGTTACTACGTTCCGTCATTTTCAGAGGATCTTGTCGTGCTTCTGGATTTCCAGAAGGATTTGACGAGGGTACGGCGGAATCGTTACTTTCTATTATTCTCTCTGCAATATTGTACTGCGAAAATCCGGCAACTCCCGCCAAAAGGACTAGATTTGACTGTGTAAGTCATTTATTTTTTTTATTCGTTGCACCCGATAGACCAGTCTCTTTCCACTTGAGAAGAATGGATTTTGGGACTTTGTTACTATCTGCTTTCACAGAAGCTCTTGACGCTAACAACTCCGAGAAGCATTTCAAGGATTAATAGAGCGAAACTTGGGTTGTGCTAACAGAGATGAAACGGGTATTATTTTATCAGTGACAAAGACATTTTTCATGCTGATGGACGAAGGAATTCCTGGGGTAAACCGATTTCAAGCGAAGCGGCCTTATCCTCACTAGAGTACTCTCAGTTTCCCTCGAGGGTAGATGTTCCGGCCTCTCATCTTAAGTTTAAAAAGCTTGAAGTTTTCGCTGTTCATCAAGTCCTTTTTGCTATGCGGCGCCTATTCGCAATGGTAGCGGCTCATTCAATGCGATTTGATCTACACAATACTCGCGCGGCCACGGGAAGAAGGCTCGTGGAAAGACGGATGTGCTACCAATTTGCCGCCCCCAAGGGACAAGAGGCTTGGCTGGTCTAGGCTAATACCGATCCATGATCTGACCAAACGCGCGCGCATGCTGAGCGGGCCACTTGCCACTACCCTACGCCTCTCCTGAGTTAGGGCCAAGTTCCTATATTTTATGTCTCTGCTATTCTGAACTGCTCCATCAACTTTGGGTTTTGTCAGGAAACTGCCGACTTGGGATCTTTCGCAGTATATCAAAAGGCTATGGATGTCAAGAAGAGCACTTCGGAAGAAGTGGAGTGGGTTGCTGAAACCTGAGGAGCAGTTTCCTCTGCTTATCGAGGCGCTGGTATGTTAGATTTCTTAGTGATGGTGTCCTCAAAACGAGTATTGACGGTTAAGGTATCAATGTCTCTGAAGTCCACGGCTTCCAACGATTGTACTTTGCAGTTCCAAACCCTTTTTGACGTTCACAAGGATTCGCTGTGGTGAGTGAGAGGAAGTTGTGCTTTATAAACGAGACGTAGATGGTTCCATAAGAATAAAAGTATGAAGGACGAAGAGAAGACTTCGCAGTTAGTCAATCCTTTTTGGGATGCGGCACGCATTCTACTTCCATTCAGAATCGTAGTGGCTTATTGAATGCGATGTGGCCTACGCAATGACTTGCGGCGGAAAGCCAATGTAAAGTCAGTGTTCTTATCGTTCCAGATAAGGTTCCACTTTAGCGTTCTCGAGAGGGGGGGGGGTAGAGGGCTTGGTTGGCCTAGGCGGGAGCCAGTCCGGGTGATCCCGGGACCGCTGGCGTGGTAAGCGTGCACTTGGCCAATCTCCCTGAGAATAAGTTTTTTGATTTTTTGAGTTTTGATAAACAAATCAAAGTGAGGGCGGTATTTGGACGCCCTGGACGTCCGGGTTCTGGAAGGGATTAGGTCTTCGTCATTATGATTTCGAATTGCTGTCACATAAGAACTAACAATATTTCTTCAACCCTTACTAATCATTTCAAGTTTATCAGCTTTCCTAAACGTCGTAAATGTCTCTAATGATGATCTCTACACTCAGGGTTGGCCTGAAGTTGATAGAAGGTGAGACGGTCGACGTTGCAAATGTGGCTCATTTTATGGAGCAAATGTTGACAAAGACACGTGATTATCTTCAAAATGGCAATGCCGGTATGGGCCATATGTCTCTGGACGAATTCACAGCTCAGGTCAGGGCGATTTTCGATCGTGAAAAGGATCGATTGAAGTAGTTCTCTTCCGATTCTATTCTTCTGCTCTCTGGATTCATTTGTTGTTTGTATGTTTACGTTCTGTTTTGCCCTGTATTTTGAATCTCACTATTCATACTGCCATACGGTGCATCCATTGCTTGATTTTCATGTTTTTTATTGCACTCTCAGGGCACTTGTCAAGTCGCAAAACCTCTCCTTTTTCCTTCGTAGAATAAGCTTCCCCGAAAGCAGTACAGGTTTGAATCTACTACGTTTTCATCAGTGTCTGTCCCACAATGGCAATAGGGTTCGGATAGAGGGCAGCGGCTGCCAAAGCATCGAAACGTGCAAAAAACGTATGGCGAGCCAGGAAACGGGATTTTTCAAGGGGAGGGGACTCCGGGGTGGGTGAGCTACTTATAGTCGGTGAAAAGCTGGAGTGAGCGAAGTCACAACGGCCATAGAGTGCCATGCGGACGAGAGAGTGCAGAGAAAAAGAGAAGATCGACGCGTTAAAAAACAGGTCGTTGAATGGCAAAGTGGATACCGATTGACTGGAGCTCATATAGCAGTGGGGGGGGGTTGTTATCACAGCAAAAATGGAATTCAGTTGATACTTCAACGTGAGCTGGCTGCCTGTTTTTTTTAGTGATTTCCCCAATCACTTCTGTTATCTCCCTTTCGGGAACATTTGCGGGCGGAAAGATAAACGGCGAACACGCGAGTGACAGCTTCATAGAATAGGATAGGAGAGTGGTAAAAGGTCTATCCCTTACTTACGGCGGATATGTGACACCCACGCTGAAAAAGCCTTTTGACCCTCGAACTGAGATACCTTATCTCTTCTGTTAAAAACCAGATGATTTTCGGTGTCCACTTAAAAATTCTTGTCGTTGTTACCTTCCCTGAGCCTACCATGAAAACCAGATTCACTAACTCAGGTAATTATTGTCTGTTCCATTTCTGCATGGTCGAATATGGTACACTAAGATAATGTTTGGTTGAGATGTATCCCTGTGAATCTCGTTCGGGTCTTTTATACCTCGGTGTTTTTTTCCTATGGTTTTTTAATGTTTCTCACGTTGAATGTCTTGCCATTAATTGTGAACTGTTAGTAGAAAATAAAAGTGGGTACTCTGTGCTTTTTAATCTTACAATGTCGTTTCTGTGTTACGCTCGTTACAGTCTTATACCATAAGCCGCAGGCAAGAGGAACAGGGGCCAGGCGAAGGAGAGGCAAAGACATATGCACGCTTGTTAGCTTCCGCAATGTCCAAAATGTTGTGATGAAATGCTTTCAAATACATTTCAACAATACAAAAAAACTTTTATTGAATAGAGCTCTGTTCGATAATTAATTTTGTATTTCAGCATCGGTTAAAATGGACTACTCGTAGTGTTAGAAGTATCGAAGCGAATAAGTGTGAGGCAATATCACAATCATTATTGCATGAGTGTAGTCGAATGTAGTTCATATGGTCAGTTCATCGTGCAAACTGAGGATCGTTAACGCGCGCGGCTGCAAGCGGCTGCATTGACGAAAATCACAATTCGCCAAGGAATGGACTGTAGAAACTGTTAGCGAGTTTGCAAGACAGCAAAAAGGAATAGTATAGTTCCTTGAAGACTTTTGTTGCGCATTACCTGAGCTGACATCCTACAAGATACTATTATCAAAGACAAGCTGTAGGCTGTGCGGGAGCGTTCAGACTTCGCGATGGCGCGCGTCGACGCGCTACCTATGCAAAATCACTTTGAAGCTATACACGGCAACGCAACTCACCCGTTTTCGGCTGCGTTCCCGTCTTTGACATTGGAGCGCCATTGCATTGGAGGCGCGTCAACGCGCACCACAGCGCGGTGCAGTGCGTTGGCGCGCGTCACGCGAACTGTGGACGCTGCATTACTTGAGGGGTGGATCCGTGCCATGTGGAAGGTGATTAGATTCACAGCTGTAGAAGTGTGCCGTTATCGTTCGAAAGAGGAAATGAGGCTGGAAGGTAGTGAAGCGCGAGTGACGGTCCGCGTCTCCACCCGTCTTACGCAATGCGCAGCATTTGCTTCGATGCCGACGTCCCGCAGCGAACAAATGCCAAGCTGTTCAACGCGGTCTGATGTAATGAATAACAGCTTCTCAAACAAACGAGAGAGGCGCTGATAAAAAAGCGCGATTGACTCGCTTACGCATATAGCTGGTGGTGCAGCGTGCCAAGTGACGCGTGCTTTGTTTGTGGGCGGAGTCCGAAACAGAATCCAGCTACCACTACCCTCCCACCTGATTTTTGCGCTTTTCGAGTGACGAAAGGGGCACACTGCTAGAGCTGCGCACCTGTTCACCTCGCATATGACAAAGAACAGACTCCTCTGAGTTGACTTGCACAGCATATCTTCAAGTGGTATGTTCCAGTGCGATAAAATAAGCTGCACACACAGAATATACAAAACGACAGTGCATTTCTGCCCGATTAGCTAGGTACTTCAGACTTCGCGACAGCAGCGCCTCGGTCGCGCGTTCGGGGCATCAATGCAGTCGAAAGCATGTGCATCGATCGCGCCCATCGCGCGACCGAAGCGCCGTCGCGAAGTCTGAAGCTGCCCTAGTTTCACCGTACGAACACAGAATCACTGGGAAATATGGCGTCGTGTAGTAAACCAATAAGCCTAATCTTCTTTGACGAGAGCTTTTGGGAATATTCCAGCCGGTAATGTTTTGAAACCTTCAACTTTTCCGCGGTACCAGTAACTGTCCACCTAAACGATGGCAATCTTGTAGACCATCTTATGTCTTGCATCCGACTGATAGTTATTGACTCACGTCTTCGGTGATGATTATTCTGTCTCCCTTGGAAAAATACAGTTTATCTGGGTCATCTGAGCAATGATCGGCGATTGCTGTGACAACCTAGAAGACTACCATCACCTGGAAGGTCTCACAAGCGCAAAATCAATCAAAACTTCAGCAGACTAACTCGTCCAGTGCCTCCTAGTGAAGCGATGGAGGCGATTCCTTGTGTTTAGGACTCGTGACTGGAGTTCCAAAGGGAGCCAAGTAGGTCAATGGAGCCAGACCTTCTTCACCATTGACTCGTCCGCGAACCCACTGTTCATCCAACTGAGCAATCACTTCTATTGTGTCACCTGGAAAAACACTTCAGTTATTGGGGGTTCGAATTGCTCAAATGTCAGACTCACCAGCTTTGAACACCAAATCGCCTGCTACACCTGACGAGTAGTCATACGCTGCAGTCATTTTCTCAAGTGGACCAGTTTGTACGGCAAGTTGAGACATCGGCACACGGTCAATGTCCGGACATGAGACGTAATTGGACGGAAGGATGCCCTCTCGACCCTGCAGCTGCCCACGTAACCAGTCTGCGTCCACCCGTTCAATGATTGTGATTCGATCATTCGCTCGGAACTGCAATGTAATCTTTACATAACTTCATGCTGGTTTACACTGCTTACACCTACTACTTAAAGGCATGTGGCACGATAAATAGGCATTCGTACGGTGCTATATTGTGGGGGAAAATGGCGAAAAAACGAAGTGAAACGGTCAAAAACCTGCGAAGAAAAGCCTTTTTCTTAATGACTCAAAAGCAATTTCGGACGAGTTTCCCGTAGGCATCTTGCCAATAACCGCTACGGTAGATACGGCTGCATGTATGTACAGTCCTCATCATTACGGACTGTCGGGGCGGCACAGCCGCGCTGCAATGTGACGCGACAGCGGCTGCGGCTCGGTGACGGCGAATCAGCTGATTTCCATGGAATTCGGCTGCGAATTCCCACTTTTTCAACTCTTGGTTATTCTGAGCAATTTTAAATTGTACTGACTCTGAATGAATCTGAAAGAATGTAAGCCATTTGAATAAATGCCTGAAATAAGGCAAAATACAAGGAAAAGAGCATAATAATCGACATAAAAATAAAGGAAATCAGAGCCAGTACAATTCAAAATTGTTCAGAATAACTCACCTTCCACTTTAGAAGCTTGAAGAGCTGAAAAAGTAGGAATTTGCAGCCGAATTCCATCGAAATCAGCTGATTCACCGTCACCGAGCCGCAGCCGCTGTCGCGTCACAGTGCAGTCCTGACAGTCCGTAAGATGAGGACTGTACTCACATATCCATGCAGCACCGCAGCCGCTTCATATCAATCCCTTCGCTTCATATTTTACTTCGCAAATGAAGCAATACGAGCATCAGGTACGGTCGTCCATTTGTGGGCGGGCGGGCGCGTGGGCGTCCGGGTCGGTATGTTGCAGCTTGCAGGGTTTTATAAGGGTATTTCCCTGAAAAAAGGTGCTACGCAGCGTCTGCTCAGAGGAGTGGAATTCCGTCTGCCAGGCGTAGTGATCCTACTCGCATTTAAGTAATCATCGAGCGAACTGCCTTTAAGTCTTCTTTGTGATTGATTGGGTGAAACTAGTTCCAATATTTTATCCACGACCGTCTCCTCGGGCCGTCTCCGGACCTTTAAAGGCAGTTGGCACGATGGTTTCCCACTCGGCCTAAAATGCTAGTAGGGCGCTATGTAGTGGGGAAATGGCGAAAGAACGGAGTGAAACGGTCAAAATCCGGCGAAGAAAAAGCCTCCGTTCTCAGTGACTTGAAAATCGATTTCGGACGAGTTTCCCGTAGGCATCTTGCCACCGCTACCGAAGATACGGCTGCATATGTGTACCCATGTATGCATGCAGCATCACGGCCGCTTCATACCAATCCCTTCGCTTCATAATTTGCTTAGCAAATGAATGAATACGAGCGTCAGGAACGGTCGTCCATTTGTGGGCGGGCGGGCGAGGAAGGCGTTTGGGACGGAATGTTGTTGCTCGATAGGGCGTTATAGGGGTACCCTCCTTGGAAAAGGCGCCACGGAGCGCCTGTCCGAGGTCACGGAATTCTGTTAAGCCAGTCGTATAAATCCTACATCTGTATAGCGATTTATCGTGCCAACTGCCTTTAAAAAGGGGGTGCCCGTCGGGGGTGGAGCTACGCATGGCAGGGGATAGTGGATGGCGTCTCGCGCAAGGATGCAAAACTCTTCGTGTAGACAATGCATTCCTATGTGACGTTAAATACAATGTAGCTATGAAGTTCCCTGATATCACATGATGGGAATGTTGCGGAACAATGACAGCATTATATGACTCACCTCGTTCTCAACCTTCGTCAAATGAGTCACTGTTTGAGAAAAAGTTGTAGAGAATTGATGGGAAAACCAGGAACTTATGGGAAACGAAGATTTACGATTCACGATGTGTGCAAAGGTGAAGTGCTATCAACCCGGTTGTCTCTTTGTGCATTTAGTAAAAGTACAGTTAGAAGCTGACTCAGACATAGGCGCTGGAAAATGGACGGCAGCAGAATAATGTAGTTAAAACCTTGTTCGGTTTTCGTAAGCCACGAACACACTGAACGCGAAGTGCACTGATTTCAATGCACTTTTACCGAAATGCCAAAGTAGTCACGGAACGGCATCGTTGGGGGAATCGCAAGTGGGGGGAGGCAATTGTTCAAGGGAATCCTATGGAATGACTTTAAGAGAAATTTTTGTGAATCGTGAATTTTTTTCAATTTTTTGTGGACTTTTCACGACTTTCTGCGCGCTTCATATCCGCTTGTGTGTAGCTTCGTAACTATTATGTAACTACCCTTTGTGAAATTTGATTAAAGCGGCTCTTCCGCCACCAATACTTGAGTTTTTGGAACTGGTAGTGATTTAAAATATCTTGGCAAGGTGGTAGGTTGATTTTGAAATGAGGGTCGTATTGGGAGAATTCTTTGGTCTGACACCGCCATTTCCCCAATCTCGACCCAGTCACGGCACACCGTTGTTGGGGATTCCAAACAGAGGGGGTCGTATTTGGTCGCTGGGAGGACGGTTATCGGGCTGAGATTTTTTTTGATAATTCATTTTGCTGTTAGGGACGCTGCGGTGGGGGAGGGGGGCGTGGTCGCATTTTCGCATTGTTCGGAACGAAGAGGGGGGGGGGAAGGGTCTCATTTGGCTTTTGACTGGTGAGAGTGGTTACTGACTTTTCGTGGTTTTTCCTTTCATGAGCGCTCCCCTCCCCCATCCCGCTCAACAGCAAAATTTTTGGGTGAAATTAGGGTAAAGTTTCTGGAAATCCTGAAGGAATGTCCCCCCCCCCTCCTCCCGGCTCGATAAGTCGATCGGAAGAAGAAACTAGGAGGAGGAGGAGGTCGTAGCAACCCCCTAAAGGGCTGACGGGATTATCTGGGCTGCTAGCGTCATAAAACGCAGCACTGATTTTGATAACGATCTATCGAGAGGATCATTGTTGAATAAAGAAAAATGCGAAGTGGATCAATGTATCGATCTGACATACCGTGAGATCACCGGGTGTTTTCGAGTCATAATCATATATAGCAGTCGCGGTCACTCCATGGGATGAAGATGCTGATGCCAGGGGCACTCGTATATCCAAAAATGATATAGGAATTATTCCATGCTTTCCCGTACGATTATTCATGCCTGAAAAAACGCCAGTCATAGGGTGATCTTCTCCGTTCACTGCTAAGGAAATTAACGCGTTCAGACTTCGCGATCGCATCGCTCAAGCGATTGAGTCGCGCGAGCGCGGGCGCTCCAACGTCAAACGGCGCACCGCCGCAAGGCACAATTCTAATCGGCCTGTAACCGCGGCTCGATTTGAACTGTGCCGTTGCGGCAGCGCACCGCTTGGTGATGGGCGCCCCCGGTTGGGGTGGTGCGATCCAATCGCTCGAGCGATTCGATCGCGGAGCATGAATGTGCCTAAGAGATTTGAACCAGTACTGAGAAATTCTAGAAGCAGTCTTCAGACTGTTGAGGGGGCCAATCTCAATTTCAAAACAATTTACCATAAATCCATTGATCGTCCACGTCTCGCTTCAGTATTATTATATCGCCTTCAGCAGATGTCAATTCGTCGAACATGGTGCCATTGAAGGGATATTCGACTATGGCGTGAGGTTGCGACAGAGACACATCTGAAGTGTGAGATATCTCTGGTAACAAAGTACCTGTAGATAACTATTCATGGGTAAAAGAAAGTAATTCCCAAAAACTGAGCGCGCTCGTTTGCCGGCGATAGCGTCTTGGCAAAAGTCTACCGTGCCATGGCTGCATGATGTTAAGGGTGCGTTCGTACATCGAAATCTGACGATTTGATGGCTCGATGGTCGTGAAGTGTACCGCTATACGGTAGTGTAACAAAGAATAATAATGTTGGAATCATGGTTTCGTCATGATTTCACACTTTCATTTCCCGAAAAGGTACTATTTCCGCGTTAAATATCAAGTTAGAGCGGGTGTATGTCGTTTGGCGCGATTTTTTTGTCGTCTACGCGTCAGAACATGTCAGACAAGCCGACTTCCAGGTGAGGTAACTCGTCCAAACTTCAGACTAATGTATTTCCCTAACTAACGGATTTAGGAAGAAAACTATTGTTAGAATAATGAACACTATAACCAAAAGTGACGTGCTTTCGATAGACTGCAAACTACGAAAACCCTTATAGTTTAGTGATTTGGACAAGTTATCCGGTAGGCATGTACCTGTCAGAACACGTAAACGGCCATGAAATCGCGCCAAACGACCGCCTCCCAGTTAGAGCCTACAACCGCTGTAGGGCGCGCGCCGCGACCGCCCGCAACATGTGTGTGAAATCGCTTCAGCAGGATCCGGATCGGCTATGCAGAACATCAGAGCGGTCAAAAGCTGTCTTGTATTGAAACATCGATTTGTCAAATGCATATATCTATAAACATTATAAGGAGCTTCAGCTCGTGAATGGAAACTTTATATCGAAATATTTCAATCCGTGAGAGAGAGTAGATATATGCAGATTACATCATAACTTATCCAAATATAAGGAAAAGTTTCATGCTAGGAAAAAAGAAAAAAAAAAGAAAAGAAAGCACCTACAAAAGAAGGAAGCAACTACTAAAAGTCCGGCACTATTCACCCTTTAGGATCCCGCTTACCGAAATTTGAGCCAGATAATAATCGAACTCTTTCGCTAGGAATAGATTTGGCTAGAGATTCGCTCATGTGGATGGCTTGGCCCCACAGTCGATAAGCGCATTCGTTCAGCGGGGAAAAATCAATCACCCACGCGAAGGTGGCGTCTGAATACGGCTGTGGCGACGAGGTCTATAACACTGGCATCGAGCAGTTTCGTGCTAAACGAGCGCGGTATCCATATTCAGAAGAAGAAGCCACCCACAGTAGCTTAGTTCGTTAGAAATGCAGCCCAAAATTCCAGAAGTAGGGTCGTAAAAAGTAAATAGCACCCACTATACTAGGCACTGGGTGAAACTGAACTATACGTGCACAATAGAACAAAATAAATCTATAAGAAAAACCATTCTTTCGTACCAGAAACGGTTCCTGACGACGAGTTGGGTGGGGGTGGACGAGGAGGTCGTGCAGAATCTGGCATTAGAACGGAAAGAACTCATTTTGTAAATTTTAGAACTAAAGCTAAGCACTATCGGTACATCTAACATGCCATGCAAAAGCGATAAAGATGGTGCAAAGACTTCGAAAAATTGCCCTGGTTGCAGCTGTCCTTGGCGAAGGTGCAGACGGTATTTAGCTGCATCGCCTGGTCACTAGGCGAACTTCTTGAAGAAGAGTTGAGATTGGTTGGAATAGATAGCGCTCTTTTTTTTCAGGGTGAAGAGCCCACGACCAATAAAAAATCGCAACATTCGCAGCATTAGAGACAGTGGGGCGGGCGGTCATGACCAAGGTCACTAGTGGATGGGCTGACTGGATTATGGCTAGATGCCCACTTGCAGTCCTTCCACCAATGACTCTGGTAACATGCGCCCGCCTCCAACAATCATGCTCACTGCATTTAATGGGTAGCGCGACAGATAGCTGCAATCAGTACATGTTTTGGATGACAGCTGGCTGCAAACTGCAATTTCGCCAAGCAGAGGAGCATCTTCAGAGACCAGCAAGGCTCAACTAAGGGATACAAAGCTGATACATGCAGAAAAAACAAGGTAACAAACCTACCTGAAACTCTATTTGGAGGTATAGAAGGAGCTGCTTGAAAATATGCGGCCTGTTTATCACCTGAATACAACCACAACACTCGTACAGTTTTGTTCGCAGCGGATCGGGGGTGTCAGGTAGCTGGATATGGCGCGACATCAAGTTTCCACCATTTGCTGTCGATTCAATAGTTAGAACAGAACGGGTTGTCCCCGAGCCAAACCCAGCCCCCTGACACGCCCAGCATCAGCAGCGAATGAGACTGCAGTTACACAGGATCAAGCAAAACATGTGAACACCATCCTCACCATCCGTCACATCACAAAAAATTTACAGATTCAATGGGCTGTGTTCATACTTTGCGGCAGCATCCACCAGCGACCATGGCGTTTGCCAGCGCTCCGAGCGTCCGGCAGCGTCGGCGAATACGAAATATCGATCTAGCGTCTGGCAACGTCTACCAGCTTTGCAGCTCTGCCCGCATATCCGGAGCTATTGAAGTATATGTATCGATCTAGCATCAGCCAGCGTCTACCAGCGGCCAGCAACAGACTGCTATAGTCTCCACTCCCGGACGCTGCTAGTCGCTCGCTGGTGGACGCTGGTAGACGCCGGTAGACGCTGGATCGATATTTCTTTCCTTCTACTTTCCTAGTCGCCGACGCTGCCGTACGCTGTAATTACGGCACTGTTCACTGGAGGGCGCTGGCCGGAAGTATGAAGCCTAATTGTACTACATTCAATGACTAATTCTAGCATTCTTCAAGTTCTCTCTTGTTGTAACCTCGGCATCGTTGTTTATTCTGTTTATATTGCTATGCCACTCGAGGTTTTTAGGTGGAAATCTTTATTTTACGGCCTAACGTTTCGACTTGGTCGTCTTCTTCAGAGGCCAAGCTTCCACCGTATATCCGCAGTCACAAACGGCACTAGGCTAGTATACTAACTACTAGCCGCATGTGACTGCGGATATACGGTGGAAGCTTGGCCTCTGAAGAAGACGACCAAGTCGAAACGTTAGGCCGTAAAATAAAGATTTCCACCTAAAACCTCGAGTGGCATAGCAATATAAACAGAATAATTCTAGCGTTTCTAGTGTTTGAGCTTCCCACCAACTTTTTGCCTAGTCATTAAATTCAACAATCAATACAGTATACTGCCCACATTCGGGAAATCGTGCCATATTCTGGTCATAATGTCAACCGGGGATGGACTGAGCCAGGGCCCGTTTCTGAAAGTGGTTTGACCCAATTGGACAAGAGCTGTCACCCGTTTCCAGCCAAAACGCTTGGCGCCCGCGCCACACATGCTAGCGCTAAAGCCATTTTGGTGACGGCTTGTAACTGACGTAAGAGACATCGTCGCGCCACGAAGATGTGATATTCGCATTTAGGGGGCCAAGTTAGGCTGCTTTCATACTTTGTAGCAGCGTCCAATACAGCACCGCCATCGTCGCCCGTCAGCGTCACTACCAAGAAAGGACAGTGCTAACAAAACGCTGATGTCGAACACCTCAAATTTTTTGTCCTGCAAAATTGGCCTTGATCTTATGCGATATGAGAACCTTTAATTGATGACATTCCTAAGGCGAAGACATAAGGAATCCACACTAATTCTAAACACTTTGCTGGACCCTATCTCCTACATAATTATTTATGGTTTTGTTTCTTAATAACAAAAAGTATGTGGACACCTGAGGAAGTCCAAAGTTTGGCTCCAGATCTGCAATCCATTTTCATGGTATCTAGTCCCCATTAACCTGTACTCATGCCTCGTCGTGGTAGTCCTCCTACGAAGACGAACAAGCTCGCATTCGAGCTTTCAGTGCTGCAGGACACTCGAATAGAGAAATTGCAAGAGAGCTTGGACTTTCGGCGACGTGCGTTGGTATATACCTCCAGAATCCTGATGGCTACCACTCAGTATCCTGTTTCGAGGCACCCACGATCTTTGTCCGCGAAAGACATCAGAAGAATTACCTCCTCGACCCGCCTTTCTGTGGCAGCAGATCCATGCCCGCGATGAATCTACCTGCGACAATCTCGACGAGACCTATGAGCAAGAAAGCTCCCCTGTCTGACTGCCCATAGCCAGCTTGGCAAGACTGAACATTGCGCGGGCAAACATCGGCGCCGCGTCGTGGCGAACAGCGTGTAGTTTCTGAGATATTTTGTTAAACATCAGTAACTGCCCAGCATCCTTATGCGCCATTTCCTTTTTAGGCTATCTCTTCAGCTGATAAGCAAAAAAGTCAATCTCGACGGTCCAGATGGATATCAGCATTACTGGAAATACCTTTGTAGCGATCCGGTTGGTGTTCTCGAGACGAAGTTTCGGAGGCGCCTCTTTGATGGTACGGGGTGACGGTTTTGAAGGACAGAAACGAAACTTGGCCCGCTTGCCTTTCCATTCGTGCCTGTATGAACATGGAGGGTCACAAAGGAGTGCTTGATGTCTAACCTCTTTTCCTTTTCTGAGCGGGCCCCCACCGCAGGACTACATTCGCACATTTGATGGCAGTCCGCGACACACGTCCGCCGTTGCATGTTCACAAAATCTACTAGGAAATGGCTCCAACGCCTATTTTATCAACGACAAAGTGATTGGATTGGCGGCGCTGCTTCTCCTTGACTCGCAACCCAACCGAATCTTGTGGCAATCAGGTTCGGCCGAATCTCTGAACAGTGGTAGGTACAACACGTGCCGACTGCAGCATGAAGGGCGTGCCAATAATTGCCTACCCATTGAGAGGGAATAATCGCGCCACCATGACCAAATCCTAGTCCACAGCATGACCGGACAGAATAAGTATTATAGTAACACTGCGAGGAAGAACCAAATTCTTATTTTCACGACCACAACATGTTTTTTGTTAAGTGTCACACAATACCTTTTGCTTATTAGAAACTTTTTTAAAACAAAATAATTG